GTCAAATAGGCTTAACAGGTTGATGTTAATTTGGTTAATTTAAGAGTGTAAAAAGTAGAGGCACTATAGTAATGGTGTTTACATACGGAATATGAGTTTTTTCTTGTTCTTTATTGCTGACTTGGTTTTTTTTTAGAGCGAATCTGGTGATGTCGCAGATGCTCTTAGCCAACTTTCTCCAGAACAGATTGAACGTTTGTTTTTAACGGTTCTTGCTGTTTTTCTTACCATGTAACAAATTTATTAGAAAAATCATTCTTAGACAATGATGTAGGAAAAAAAAGAGGAATAAAATAGAACAATTAGTCTAGGAGCCATCTTTTAAGTTTTGAATTGACTGGGAAAGCGTCCGCTATTTTTTGACTAGAATAATAAATATAATCGCTTTCGGTTAAAACCGATTTCCTCTCAAGTGAATTTTGTTTCCTAATACTTTTTTTTACAAAAAGTCAAAATTTACTCAGTCAGTTTGAAATGCTTTATGAAATTTTTTCATGTTTCTTTGGTAGAAGTTGTTAAGAAAAAGAAAATCAACTGTTTTTTGTCTTTTTCTTTACCTGTCATTTCGTTTTTTCCTACCATTAACATTTGGTTCGCAAAAGTGATTTCTGATTTTTTAGAATTTCGGAAATATTTTAATATGTTTGACAAAGAAAATAAAGGATATATACGGGCGACACAAGTTGGTCAAATTTTACGAACCATGGGACAGGCGTTTGAAGAGCGTGACTTAAAACAACTGATCAAAGAGTTTGATTCAGATGGCAAGTGCACTCTTTTTGGATACCTAAATTGTTTATCAACCATTCAACTCGACTACTTGAGCAAAACAAAAATCATGCTAATAGTTGATAAGACTGAAATGACACTAATGTATCCAATCATTTTCTACTGTTGCACCATGCTTCAATGAACGACTAAAAAATTTTTGCTAAAAATTAAGACAAGTATTTTTTAAAGGATCTGGTGAGATCGAGTTTGAAGAGTTTGCTGCAATGGTTGCCAGTTTTGTTGTCAATGAGGAAGATAATTCTGGTTTAGAGGAAGAGCTACGTGAGGCTTTTCGACTTTACGACAAAGAGGTAAACAGCTTTACATTAATATAGCTAGTGTATCTCTTTTTCACTTTTTTGTGTACTAAAAGCCAATTCTTCTTGATTTTGTTTTTTTTTTCTCACATGATGTACGTCTTTTGTAGAGATTTCAATTTTACTTCAGTCTCTCTTAAATATATGACAAAGCAATCAACTCAAAAGCATCTTTTTTCTCAAAGGATCTATAACAGATCCTCTTCCTTGACTCAAAAAAAAAAAAAAAAAAAAA